AGAAAGAAAGAAAGAAAGAAAGAAAGAAAGAAAGAAAGAAAGAAAGAAAGAAAGAAAGAAAATAGAACCTATAATTCCAAAACCCAGGTAAATTATCTAAAATTTTGGTTGTATCCTTCTAGTCATTTTGGGCTTTCATTTTTCTCTTTTGTTACCTTAGTGATCATTCTTTAATTAATATAAGTAAGCAACACACACAATTTTACAAAAACTGCCACAGAAGAGGATAACATTATTTGTGAATTTGCCCCACACAGTTGCAGATAGCAATATATCATATCCTTAATACACAGTGGCCTCAAATTACAAGGTTCATACATTCACTAAAAAAAAGTTCAAGTTCACAGTTTCAATCATTTTTCACTGTAAGAAAGAAACTGAGTGAGTTGTTTTCAATTTGTGCCTTTCTAAGAGAATGGGTCACCCAACACACCATTTCCCTTAGAAATTGTTACCATTTTCTAATGTTCTGTATCATGAAATTATGATGGCAGAGTCTCACTTCATCACTCTGCAGAATGAATGATACTCTTCAAATGAATTGGCTTCATCCTTGATTGAATTTATTATGTCTGTCATCTCCGGAAATGTTCAGAAGCTAGAAACATCTCAATCATAAAACAGAACTAAATGAGCGGCTCAAAAACAAGAATAGCCCTTGATACTGCAATATGCTAGGAATTTGGTCTTAGCCACAAGAGGGACTTAATGTTAACTATTAAATAGATGTCAAAGAATGACAGGCACAAAAGATCAGAAGCTTTTCAAACTGAAGGAACTCCATGAAGTTGATTATAATTCCTGTACAGAACTACTTACAGCATGTATATTAAAAGTACTAGTCCTAAAAAAAAAAAAGGTACTAGTCTGGGGCTTCCAGGTGGCTCAGTTAAGCATCCGAATCTTGATTTCAGCTCAGGTCATGATCTCACATTTTGTGAGTTCAAGCCCCATGCTGGGCTCCGCACTGCTTCTTCTCATCTCTCTCTCTCCCAAAATAAACAAATGTAAAAAAAAAAAAAAAAAAAAAGATTAAGCATTTTCTGGTAAAGGCAAATCCTTCTGTTTTACTTATGTACTTACTTCAGATTTGCCTCAAATAAAAGGTCCTTTTATAACACCCCACAGTAAGACTATGAAAAAAAATGCAAAAATTGGAAATAGAACTAAGTGTGTGAAGAGTGATAAAACTTGGAAAATGTGAGATACAAAAGCCAATGTACAAAAATGAAACAACTCATATGTTGTATATTAGTGCAATCAATTTGGCCTGAGAATAACCTTCAGGAGGAAGGACTAGAATGTGATTTAACTAAGTAAACTTAAGTTTTATTAATCTCCCTGAAAAACAGGCTTATAGTAGGAGATGGTGTAAAGAACAATTATACAAAAGGAAAGCCCTTCGAATGCCACCTAGGGAAGATCAGGGAGATGAGTTCTAAAACCAGGTGATATTGGCAATCATACCTCCCTGGCTGGAATACCTCACAAATAAAGACAAACAATGATACCCTCCCTAATCCTACTAGCTGTTAGGATAAATTAACCCCCCAAATGCCCAGACATCATGCTCATCATGAATCTTTTTATATTTAAATTATAAACAGGGTTTCCCATGAAGATTTCTTTCAGACAAAGATGGCAAGAGAATGGCAGTGTCTTAGATTCATTCAAAGTCAGGTTTCTTAAGAGGCGTGTGCGCATATGTATTATTTATTACTGTCACTAGACAACTTGCAAGGACTTTTAACCCTTTAACCGCTCTTAAGTACACTTTTAGAGGCACCTGGCTGGTTCAGCTGGTAAAGCATGCGACTCTTGATCTTCGGGTGGTAAGTCTGGGCCCATATTGAGTACAGAAATTACTTAAAAATACAATCTTTAAAAAAAAACCAAAAACTGGGGCGCCTGGGTGGCGCAGTCGGTTAAGCGTCCGACTTCAGCCAGGTCACGATCTCGCGGTACGTGAGTTTGAGCCCCGCGTCGGGCTCTGGGCTGATGGCTCAGAGCCTGGAGCCTGTTTCCGATTCTGTGTCTCCCTCTCTCTCTGCCCCTCCCCTGTTCATGCTCTGTCTCTCTCTGTCCCAAAAATAAATAAACGTTGAAAAAAAAACAAAAACAAAAACAAAAAACCACAATTTAAAAAAGTGAGATTCTCGCCCTGCAAAAGAATTTCTCTAATGGTTGGTACAGCAAAATCACCTATTAAAAACGAAGATTCTCAGCCTCCACCTGGAGCTGAAACAAAATCTAGAGGCACTTTTTAAAACAAAGTCTAGGTGATTATTACACATACTAACAGGAGAACTGCTGCTAAATCTGCTCTTAATGAGCAGATCTATGCCAATCTATGCCAATCTCAGACTAGGCCTAAATTGAAATAAAAAAAAATTTGCAGGAGCGCCTGGTGGCTCAGTGGGTTAAACGTCTGACTTCCACTCAGGTAATGATCTCACGTTTCCTGAGTTCAAGCCCCGCTTTAGGCTCTGTGCTGACACAGCCTGGAGCCTGCTTCGGATTCTGTGTCTCCTTCTCTCTCTGCCCCTCCTCCACTCATGCCGGTCTGTCTCTCGCTCGCTCTCTCTCAAAAATAAACAAACATTAAAAAAAAGGAAAAAGATACAGCAGTTTCTCCCCTCATTCCTGAGATTGTTCCTGAATCTCCAAAGTGTATTCATGGCATTAGCAAAGACTTAATGATCTTCATATATGCTGTCACAATTATTATATATCTATCAAGCACATCTAAAAGCAATACCAGACTAACTGGAAGTGGAAAAGTAGGGCAATGACAAAGCCCTATTATATCCTTTTGATACTGAACAAGCCGTTCCTTCAGATGACAAGTGCCACCTATGCTTTTCATAAATGTGAATGAAATCTTGTCAACTTAAAAATTTTTTTTCATTTATTTTGAGAGACGGAGCACAAGTGGGGGGAGGGGCAGAGAGAAAGACACAGAATCCAGAAGCAGGCTCCAGGCTCTGAGCACTCAGCACAGTGCCCAAAGCTGGGCTCAAACTCATGAACTGTAAGATCATGCCCTGAACTGAAGTCGGACGCTTAACTGAGTCACCCAGTTACCCCATGAAATCTTGTCAATTGTTAAACTGAGAATTTAAACAACTGAGATTCTATGTATTGAGTTGATAGATCAATAAATGCTACAAAAATCCTTATAATCTTGGCTGTTTTTAGACATGAAACAGTGTAACAACATACACTGATAAAGTGAATCATCAGAAAGTACATTTTCTCATGCAAGAAGTTGAAAAGACCACAGACAAGTTTTCATGGGACATCTAGCAACTAATTTGTTTCTATAATTTGAAGATAAAGGTTTCCCCTTCTGCAAAATCAGGCAGACTCTATTTTGTATCCTTGTGAGGGCATTAGTCTTGAAGACACATAAATAGTTTAGCTAAAATTGGGAGGGAGGTAACATGCAGGATAGGATCTCAACCACTTTTTTGGTCCAATTCAGAGTGATCAAATAAATTACAGCAAACAGGAGAAAAATACACTAAAAAGTTAAAGTTCTGAACATTTCAAAATTGTTTTGGCATAAAGAAATAAATACAAGATAAATAACCCTCAAAATTTTCATTAGTAATCTGTATCCTACAGCATTCTACTGACATTACACAGAAACTCAAGTCTCTTCATCATCACTAACTTGTACACATATGCCCAATGCTTTCTACGTTTTTTTAAAAAACAAGTTGCTTATAATGGAGATTTGAATTTAACTTTCTCCTGAGGTCTGCTTACGGTGTCATTTTTGCTTAGTTTATAAGTTTGTTTTTAATTCCTGGGAAGAGGTATATAGGGAGACTCTTCCAGAAGGGAATTAGAAAATGTTAGTCTCTGGATCTTCATCACATAGTTATGTTCAAATTGTATTCCTAGTGTGGGTACTGTATACACACACCAAACATACATAAAAAGAAAATCTAACAAAATCTGCCACACACAAACGCAAATAAAAAATTAACACTGAACCACACAAGGGAATACATCAAGCATTTTATCTAAAATTTTGTATAAACACGATCTGAAAAAATAAAAATGAAGTCAAAAGCAAATTAAGTGACAGTTAAGTCTATACCTAGTAGCCCAGTGTCTACGTCTTCAGTCTTCAAATTTTCAGCATGTAACTCTGTAAAATACAAAAAAAGGGGCTTGCATAAAAAAGATGATTTTACAATTTGAACAATAGCTCAAAGGCTGGAGAGATACTGTGGAGTTGTGGCAAATGCTCTGGAGTCATAATCAACTGGGCCTAAGTTCTGATTTCATTTACTAGCTACTTTACCTTCAGTCAGCAAATAAGGTATTTGAGTCAACTTTAGTGTTACTGTGAAAATATATGTATTTTTTTAAGTTTACATATTTAAGTAATCTCTACACCGAATGTGGGGCTTGAACTCACAACCTCGAGGTCATGCTCTTCCAAATGAGCCAGCCAGATGCCCCTGAAAATATTCTATGTAATACAAATTACATGCACGATCAGGTTCCTTTCTTCCAGTCTCAAAAATAAGCACAACTCAATGTCTTCCACAATGGACTCAACTTACCAAGTTTTGCGACTTTATAACATAAAGGGAAGCTCTCACAGCATAAGAGAAATAACGTACAGAACTCTGCGAGTTACAGTAAAAAAAAGAGAGGAGGAGTGAAAGAGGAATGAAACACTGGCAGCCACATATTTAATGTTGACAGTTTACACCCAATACCATTGTACAGAGGTTCGTGTTAACTTGCCCATCTGTCTTGTGTATGAAAATCAAGCATAAGTTGTTAGATGCCACCTGCAGCCCAATGAGGGCTTGGAAGCAATGACGAAAAATTACAACTGGAGTTAAGCCGATATAGTTCTGTTGAGTGAAGTAAAACTAATACTTGAGTGACACCGTGTTGGGTGCTTCTCGGAACTAAAGTTCTCAGAGAACTAAAGTGTTTTTGTTTTAACTAACTTTTCTGTGTCAATACCTTGGCCAAAGTCACACACAGTGAGAACTGAGATTTAAACTTTGGTCTGATTCTTTCCGCTGTAATATAAAATATTCCAGCCATATAATACAACTGTATAAATTTTGAAAAATCTTTCATGGCACATCTTTCTATTACGATCAGCCCTGTATTTAAACTTCAGACAAAGGAAAATAAAACTTAATAACCAGAAAAATAATAAATTATCTAGCTCCTATAAGAACTTTACACTCGATTGAAGACCTAACACAAAATCAAGAGAGCTAATTATCTACAAAGGTAGAACGTTAGGCTGTGGGATGGAAATCCTGGTGTTTCAGGAATTCGGTGATTGTACAAAAGAATCAGTGTTTAACACACCTTGAACCATTTGTCGATTAAACCAAGTCTTTGAACATATTTAGCCTATTTTAGTCTCACACTTCTTACCGTCTTTTAAGGATTACCGTCCTACATACTGCTTAATTTTGCCAACATTTCACCCCAAGTGTTCACTGACTCTACTGTTTATTCCAGAGTACCCATTTAATCAAGGCCCCTCCTTATAACGGGTCTCCTAAGCTTGGACCAAGGTCCTCCACCCTTAAGAAAAAAACAGAGGAAGAGCAAAGAAAGCAATGAGGACTCTGGATGAAAGCCGGTACCCGACTGCTAGCCTCTGATGGGGAGGAGAGAGATGGAAGGGAAGAGCCACAGATAGGCTCAACTTCACTCTGGAGAGACTTTCAAGGCCGAGCTTCAGTACCTTTTACGATCAAGTAGGCGATGGCGAGGAGGAAGGCGAGGAGGATGGCGAACAGCAGCGAACAAAGAATTGAGAGGATCTGGACAGGCCACCGCCGGGCCTGGGCTCGTCCGCCCGCAACCGTTGAGAAAATGCCATTGCGCTTATCGGGCAGAACCGGCGACCCGTCCCTGTCCCGCTGGAGTAGCGAGCCCTTTCTAGGCTCCGACGACGCCCCGGCTGAAAACTCCGCCCGCAGGTCGCGGGCCACTTGGTCGCATCCGTCCTCCTCGTCCCCTTCACCTTCACCCCAACTGTCCCCCTGAGTGAAGGCGGTAAAAGCCGTCCGAGCAAACGGAACAGGGGTGCCGAGGCGTCGGCGCAGAGGAGCGGAGCGCCGCCCGCTCTCCACAAACGACATGGCGGGAAAGACGAGGGGACCAGCGGACGTCGAGAGACTACCACCCGCCCCGCCCCGCGCTCGCAGCAGCCAATCAGCGGCCAGGCCCCCCCACAGCCTCCACCACCTGGCACTGACGCGCAGGGGTGTCCGGGAGTGCGCAACGGGGGCGGGGAATGTGCTGTGGAGCCTAAGGAAAGGGTGGGTGCCCCGGGGCCAGAGCACGATCCCCGGCTAGTAGGAAGGAAGGGAAGCGGGGAAGCGCACAGGGAGAGGCGACCCGAGGCTGAGGGTAGCCAAGTCTCCTCTCCCTGCAGTGCTTCGTCCCTGCCAGAGACCTCCGCCACCGTCGCGTCACCTCTAGGCAACCGCGCGCCCCGGCAGCCCCCAAAGCTGCATCTTCTCGATGCTCGGTCCTAGCGCCCTCCCATACCTTTCTGATTCACATTTCCGAACCGATTTGCTTTCTCCCTTCTTCCGCCGTAAGCACCTACTCTTCTCTGGCTTCCCTCTTTAACGGCAGCTCACCGCCCAAACGCTCTCCCCTCGTCCAGACTGCCCTTCCCTCTTTTTCTTTTGCATTGTTCTCCCCGCCCCTATCACAACTTCCCTCCACGCTGCTCGACACGCCTCCCTCCCGCCCCCTCCACCCCGGAGTGGGCTCAGCTGCTGGTGCGTACGGAGTTTTAACCCTCTTCTAAGGAGCCCCCCCCTCCTCTCCTCTTCCCGCCCCCTCCCCTCCGCCTCGAGCACCGCGCGCGCCCCCGCGCGCGTCCGGCCCCGGCCACCGCTAACGCTAGAAGCTGCTTACCCCACCCCCACCCCACCCCACCCCACCGCGGGCAGCCTCAGGTTTGTGGGGCGTATGTAACTCGGGCGGAGTGGGTGAAGGTGGCAGGCCCCCACTGCCCCACCCCCTACGGGGTGTGGCGGTCTAAGCTCGGGAAGCCGGGACAAGGTTGTCTTCTCTTCCCCGGGGAAAGTTGGTGGAGTTTTCCCGGAGGAGGCGCAGAAACTTCCTCCGTCCCCCTCCCCCCCCTCCATGCAGGCGACGCCAAGTGAGGCTGAGGCTGGGGGCGAATCGCCGAAGAGCTGCGTGTCGACAGCGCACTCTGATTGGACAGCGGGGAAGCCTGTCAGCTTATTGGCCCCGCTGATCCCGCCCCGTAGCGCAGGGCAGCCTTTAACCTTTGGCCCCAGCGGGCGCCAGCCACTCAGATCGCTTCTTGTTGGTATGTGTAGCGGCAGTGGCCGCCGGCGGAGCAGTCTGAGCCCGACGATGAGGCCGGGGACGGGAGCTGAGCGTGGAGGCCTCATGGTGAGTGAAATGGAGAACCATCCTCCTTCGCGGGGTCCCGGGGACGGGGAGCGGAGATTGTCCGGCTCAAGCCTCTGCTCCAGCTCTTGGGTCTCTGCTGACGGCTTCCTGAGGAGACGGCCCTCGGTAAGGGATCGGTGGAGCAGGGGGAAAGCGGCACAATGAAAAACGGAGTCAGAGAGGCAGGAAGCTTTTTCCAGAAGGAGACGAAGATAAGAGCGGACGGAGGAAGAGCTCGAGATGGTGGGATATGTAACGAGGAAGAGAATTGGAGAGCGGGGATGCACAAAGGGAAGGATGTGGGTCCCTGGAAGTTCCCATTGGGCTTGGCCTAGACAGATGCGCGGTGGAGGTGCTGGGCCTTGGGCGCGGTGAGCCTCTTGGAGAGGTAGGCCGGCTGTAGCAGGAAGGGGGAGGCGGAGACTTGATGTTGTAGATTTTAAAAGCGGCTGGTAAAATCTGCTTTCACCAATAGTAGTGGTGTCTGCAGGGGGTACAGCTGGGAAAATTGGCAGTGGGTAACTACCTGTTTTTAAGACCCGGAACAATGGGCACACAGGTAAAGAAATAGTTGTCTTTTAAAAGCGAATTAAAATGGATGTATTGGTTGGTTGTCTTTAGGGTCTGTGAATGACTGACCTTAGTCTTTGGAAAAAAAATTTTTTTTGGCAGAAGTAATTCTACTTGTGTTAAAGATTCTGTTAGGAAATAATATGTTTATATATTAGGAGTTAAGTGCCCTTGGGTACACGTAATGTGTTCTTTTTTGGTAAGACCAGCTCTTACCTTAGTTAATTTGGTAGATTCTCATTTCAGAATTTAAGATCAACTTAAAAATAAATTTAAGGATAATTAGTGTTCTGACGTAAGTTAGCTATCTTCTGTCTGTGTGAACTAGAACAAAGTTGTGGTTTTTCACCCGTAACAGTTTTTAAATTGGCTTTCACATGCGTGTTCCCTGAGTTTAGCAAGCCAGCTAGTAAGCAGTGTGCTTTAAAAAAAAAAAAAAAAAAAAAAAAAAAAAGGAAAGAAAGAAAGAAAACAGAAAACCTATGCTTTAGCTGTCCGGTATTTATTTTAATTCTTTCCATTTTGTTCTGTAATTTGTTTAGTTTCAAGTTCTTTACAAGTACTGGTATGTATAGTGCATTTTGTTTGTTTAAGAAAGTGTAAGTTAACCCAGTAATTGAATTACACATTGGCCTAATATGCCGCTGCACATAACCAATTTGTTGAAATCAGATTTTTGAGAAGCATTTATTGTTACTTGATAATTTTTAAATTGTCCCTATTTTTCAGATGGGGCACCCTGGCATGCATTATGCCCCAATGGGAATGCACCCTATGGGTCAGAGAGCCAATATGCCTCCTGTACCTCATGGAATGATGCCGCAAATGATGCCCCCTATGGGAGGGCCGCCAATGGGACAAGTAAGAATGTTTTTGTTTTATTTTGTATTTATTTGTTTATTTTTGCCTGTGGTATCATTGTGTCAAGATTTCAAAATCCGGGTGAATACTTGCAGCTGTTTAAGGATTAGCTTATGCCAAAATAATGTCAAATAAGTCAAATGTTGAGTGGTGACACTAATCAAATTTTGAACGTAAGGAGAAGCCTTCTGTATAAAAGATTTATTTTCTACCAACAACAGAATTCAGTTCTTTTATTAAGTAGCTGTATATGTAGTCTTATTAATTTAATAACTTTCTTTTTCCTATTATGTCAATTGAAGTTAATGCTTGAGTAGTGAATATTATAGGTCAACATAATTTATGTCCGTGGACCATGTAAATGCATAGAGTCTAAAAAAAACAGAATTGTTTAGGTCTTGGCTTAGAATAAAGTTGATTCCTGAAATAGCATTCTCTTCTGTGTGTGTGTGTGCGTGCGCGCGCCCGTGTTGGGAATAGAATAGGAATGTTCTACTCTAATTTAATTCTTCATTAGGACAGTGCCAAATAGGTGGTTCATTTTCCACTTACACTGTTTTGTTTTGTTTTGTTTTAAATGCTTATTGCTTCTGCACTCCTGCTTTTGAGCTGTCCCTTTCATTTCCAGTATAAATTGTAAATGGCTATTTTGTGGGAATGATTTGGATCAAAAGGTTTTAATGCTGACTCAGTGAATTCAGTAGAACTGAGTTCCTAGAGAAGCATCCAAGAAAGGTAACAGGTTCAGTTACCATGAATAATTTTATGCCCCCTGTCAGGTTCTGTGATACATATATTCTTTGTTGGTTGAGTTCTTTCCATTTTAGTATCTATAAATCATCAAAAATTTAGGTTGATAAAATATTTTGGAAAGCCAATTAGGTATGGTCTTTCTGCTAATTAATACTATTTATGCTGATAATCACTTGAGCCTTGATATTTTAATTTATTGGTGAAATTATAGTGGAGAAAGGAGTTTGCTCTGTGTCTTTCTCTTTTTAACTTAACCTTAGGAGTAGAAGGGCTTAATGTCAAGTGGCTTTCTTCTTTATTTGGAATATAGCCCTTAAGTTTGTATAAAAATTTTTACTCAAAGACACCAGGCCCCCAAAATTCTGCTGGGAGGATTTTTGTTTGTTTGTTTTTTTAATAAAAGAACCATTTATTCTGTGATTCTAGAATAACACAAGATTTAAAACTCCCTTAGGTGATGGAGAAACAATTCTGATTCCTCTTCTGTTTCTCTCCATCTGTAAGCAGCAAGGAGCTCTTCTGGTTTTCTTAGTAGAGCTGCTCTAACTAGATAATGAGCTTTAAAAAATATTTATTCTTTAAATGCTCTGGTTCTTATTTAAAATTAGTTTCTTTCCACAGAAAGATAAAATAAAACAATTTGCTACTGCCAGATGCTTCTCTCTTTTCTGGGGCCTTCTGTTTCCATTGGGCCAATCAAGGTAAGTTTTGCAAGGGATTGACCTGCTTACCCTTGCTGTAATGGTGCTATTGCACTACCAGACCAAGACACCAGCTAGTCATTTCTAGTAAAATGCAGATTTTATTTATTTTTTTAAGTACTTTTGTGTATCTCATTGACATAAGCTGGTCACAGTTTGCTTTATGGCCCTTTCTCTTTAGCTGTATCAGTGACCATCTTCCTAGTAAGGTTACTTGCTATCTGGTACACGTCTGTTCAAATCCTTTGAATTTTACCTTGTGGTTTTCTTTTTCCCTAGACCAGTGTATGCTATGTATCTGTAAGTGTACCTGACTATTTAGAAGTTTAAAAGTCTGTCTCCCTCTTGGCTCTTGTTAGGATCATGAATGAATGGATGACTTAAGAGTCCAGCTCTGAGGGTCCCAAAAGAAACTCCATTGTTTTTCCTTAAAATTAGATTGTTTCTTTTTTTCTTCTTAATATCTAACTTATATGGGACCCAAATTAGTAAAACTAATTCTTATTTGAGCTTTGGTAACAGACTAGGAGGGCATGGATAATTGAAATTCTCAAGTAATCTAGAAATCTAATTTAAAGCCCTGTAAGCAACTACCTTAAAGATAAAAGTTGCTAATTAGCAAAATTGATCTTTTTTCTGCATATCATCTCTTCTGTCTTCCCACTTAGAGATATTAATGGTCAGAAGATAATGAGAAACAGTAGGGTGCCTATGTAGTTCAGTGTGGTGACACAAAGTTGGTAGGGTTCTGCCATTCAATTTTAAAAAGTCAATTTACAGATTTAGACTTTGGGACTGAAGGTTATGGAACCTTCATGTGTATTGCCTAGTTCACATTAAGACCTCATTCTGGGACCAGCTGAAGATGAAAATTGGTGCCAGTCTTACTTGCTAAATGATTCTGGTCTTTGGAATGTTAGTGAACATGACGTGAAATTTTAAAACTTGTTTGTAAAATAGTATGCTGACTGGACAGAATACCCACGTATGGAGCCAGAAGTCGTAATTTTTTTGATGCATCAAGTTACAGGCTAAAGGAGTATTATGG